CAAACGGGCGCGCGCCTCACGGCACGTTTTACACCAACTCTCCAAAGCCTCAGCCGACCGAAGAAGGTTGCCCGCCAGCGGTATTTTTGGTGAGTGTTTCTTGACCATATATATTGCAAAATTCAACAATACATGACACTCTGCTGCCTTTACCTTCATCATTCCTCCACTGTGTGGGGCGGGTCCGTCAGGTGGGAGCATTTTCTCTGTGATGGCCCCCAACCGCATATCTGGTGGAATGTCCGCGTAATCGTACCAACTCTCTAGGTCGCGCACTAGTCGCTTGAGTTTGTTATCCTCGGGGGCTTGCCAGGGGTTGGCGCGAAGGAGGCGCATCAATATCGCTGCCACTAGGGCCATCATCGTACCCATGTAGACGGTGTGCAACGAATCGATCGCCAGAGATCTGACAGGATTGGTGCCGAGAGCCCGAGAGAATACCGGCGATCTATGTATAACCCAATCTTTATTTACTTTGCCAGTTATGTCATAGTGCGTCCTCCAAAACACAACCTCAAATGGTAGATCATATTTCTCGAACAGGTTAGGGTTCACCATCGACGAGCTGGGGTCCAACCGGTCATGACGATCGAGTCCGAGCCCAGGGAATTCCGAAATCGGTCCAGTCAGCACGCGGCCCTTTGTCGAATGCCCGTTGATATCATACGTCAACCTTCGTAAGATTGCGGATCGGATGGCCTCTGAGTCGATCGTCACGTGGATCTCGCAAGATTTGCATGCCTCCTCGTATGCCTCCTCGTCCCGATCTCGATATAGCATCCCATCGCTAGTGATAAAGCCAGGGCCTGTTATGTGCATGCATGCTTTGGGGCAGTCACAAATGGGGCATGGGTTGTAGTTTTTCGCCCAGGATGATAGGCCAAAGCTTTTCTGGTACTCTGCCCAGTCGCCCTTCAAATACAAAACCATGCACCTGAACCCCCCAAGAGACTGTCCTGGCACATTCAGATCGTCAAGTGGGTCCCATGGATTGTTGTCGTGACGCCTGGGTGGCACCGCCCCGTTCACGAGAGCTTCTAACATCCACGCAGCCACAAGGAACATCGCGTGCACGCTGCAATGGCCGCCACAGCCACACTGACAATATTCTGACGTGCGCAGAAAACCTAGAAGGTGCCGCTTTTTCGAGATAAGATTGATCACGCTCACACCAAGCAATGAATCCGCTCCCTTGGGCTGTACACCAAGACAAACGCGGCGTGCGCAGTCATCCCTGTCTCGTGAGCCTTTGGGTGGGTTGGTGTGAATCCAAGTGTGCGTGTACATCTGAGTGCGTATGTGTGTGTATGTGTGTGCGAACGTAAAACAAGGGCTCTGCGTCTCCAGGGCTTCGTGTTTCATTCCCCAGTACTCTTAAAATTCCACGTGTCGTCCCCAGATGCTCGGCCCACCATTCCTTTGGGTGGCGGGTGGGGCGTCAGCCGTGCAGATCTACGCGGCCTGCCGACACAGGCGTGTAACGGATGCCATCCGTGTAGAGGCCGAGAGGGAGAGGATACGAACCAGTCTCATCTAGCGAACGCTGAACAAGACGATTCGACTTGTATGCGGGTAGGGACATGACACTGTCATCATTGTCACCGTCGCCATGCTTTAGCATTTCCATCATGTTTGGTGATGACAAAACCTCTTTGGCAACAGAATGGTATACGTTTTTGAATATCACGTCTCTGGATTTCGTTGAGGGGTCACGTTTTGAATATATCGGGATCTGGGCTCTGTAGTAGGGCCCACCTTTCGGGAATTGTCTCTTCAGGTGTTTTGAATACCGCCCTGTCTGCAATCCAGGCCGCAAAGCTATCCTCCGAAATCGCTCACCAGGTATCCCGCTCATCACCGCATAGTGCGCTAAAATGCACAGGTCTTTTGAAGACAGTCGTTTGCACCCGCCATAGATCGCAAGAAGCGTATCGAATAGTTTTGTAGAGGCTGATCTAGCTTGGGGGGTCCAGCTTCTATTGAAACGTATGTGCTTAGGCATGTTAGCCTTGGGCCGCAGTACCTATCGACGGATGAGTAAGCAGAGACCGAGGGAGCGAGAGAGTAAGGCTGGCGGCAACGCACGGGGGGGCTTTCCTCCACCCTTGCACGCGAGCCCGCACTCGGAGGCAAACAACTGCAATCGCGCGCACACCGTCTCTCCATAACATTGCCCATCACTCACCTCCAGCGGGCGAGCTCTGTAGTCTAGAGCAGTTACGTATAGTTGTGTGTATGCGTGTGTGTATGCGTGTGTGTCTGTGTGTGTGTGTGCGCGTGTGTTTGCGCGTGTGTTTGCGCGTGTGTGCACGCGTGCTCTCACACCCACTCTTCATCCGCCCCGCCTCCCGACACATCGCCCCCATTAGCAGATTCGAGGCGCCCCTCAAGACGCAAATCACAAACACGCGCACTATCACAAGATGCCACTGGCGCCTTCCTCAGCGAATGATGTGCGATGCGCACGCGGAGAGCAGCGCCGCGAACAACCCGCCCCGTTCCCGAGAGGCGGTGTGCAGCTAAGCAGCGCGAGCACGACGAGGGGGCATCCAAAAAAATCACAGCTGGCCCCCGTCGTCACATGCCCTAACACCGTTGGTGCTCGCCCTGGACAGGGCATGCGTCGCGCCAGCTGGGGCGCGCCCCCCTCGCTCGTGCGCGCAGTATGCGTTCTACTCGCGGTAGCTTCGTCGACCTCTCCAACCCCCTCCATCCCTCCATCCCTATCGCCCTGTCCAGCTCTCTATCTCGCCCTCTCTATTTACATCTATAGTTGGATCCGTTTATCGCTATCTCTATATATATATATATATATCTCTCTCTTTGTGTTGTTTCTCTCTCTCTCTCTCTCACTCTGCCTCTCTCTCTCTCTCTCTCTCTCTCTCTCTCTCTCTCTCCCTCTCGCCCCCCTATATATTCATCCCAGTCTCCTGATTAGCCTACTTTGGTCGGCTATCATCCTGGCCTCCCCGCTATCTCCGCCGTTGTCGTGTCTTCCCCCGAGCGACATCCCCCTATCCATGTTACCCTATCCTGCACTCCAGTCAGGTCTAAAGCCGCCATACACTGTCCCCGACTCTCGGGAAGCTGGCGCCCCGCTTGCAACATCGAAAGGCACAGCGAGCACTACAGCGCGCTTCCACACCTCGCCCACCGAACGGGCCTGTCCATCATCAGACAGTGTCTCGGAATTACAAAAAACAGTTGGTTTGTCACAGAATTCTCAGAAATTTCTCGATTTGCAGTAATTGTTCAGCAAAATCGACTGCACCACGCTCGAAAAACTTTCAGACACTTTCAGACTACTTTCAGACGGTTTTCAGACTACTTTCAGACATGCCACCAAACCATGTGTTTTTACAGCTATCCTGAAAGTTCAGACGGGTTTCAGACGGTTTTCAGACTACTTTCAGACATCGGTCCGACCCCTGGTTCCGACACGGAAATCCGTGAAAAAATCGTGCCGCCACCCGTTCTCACCCCATCCGTTGCCGTCGTCAGCCACACACCACCGTTTGGACAGTTCCGAGAGGGTGGAGCTATCAGACGAACAGGTTTGCGCGCTCCGCACGTCGTGCGAGCGCGCGCGTGCAGGTGCATGCTAGGAAACGATGCTGAAAGCGTGCTGACCGTACCCACTCAGACTTTATATGTAAAACACGTCCCAAAAAAAAACACATAATCCCAGCTCGCACCTGCACGCCATCACTGTCAATGGTCGCCGCTACTCAATCGGCCATGCGCGCCTGGTGCTGCCTGAGCATCTTCTTGTTCTCCGTGGCCAGGCCCTCCACCAACCTGGTCATCGTCTTGTTCGCGTGCTTCAGAGTGTCCTCGAACTCCTCATCGGAGAGACAGTACTTTTTGAACTCGTTCACTTCGACAGAGAAGAGCTGAGCCATCCTCGCGTCGCCCGTGATCACCGCGGTCACCTGGCCACTGGCAAAGAGAGGGAGGACATGATGAAGAGGGGGAGGAGGATGAAGAAGAGCAGGGTGGTGCAATCCTCATCATATTCATCCTTCTCATCCTCCTCATTCGCCACCTTATCACCTGAGTGCCTACCCGCTCCCGCAGTCCACCGCCGTCGGCATTCCTTCATCCTCCACGGGGCATCCCCTCATCCTCCTCCTCATCCTCCTCATCCTCATCCTCCTCCTCCTTCTCTCCCTCCTCCTCCTCCTTGGGGTGCTCCAAGCTGGCCTTGTCGAGAGCGTCGGTCATCGCATTGGACAGGAGCTGGTCATGTCCATTACGATCCTTGCTGGTCGCAGACGCCCATGACCAGTCAGGGTCGCTCACCATGCACTGCTGGATGGTGCGCGTCTGCCCAACCACTGTGTTGTACATGTTCTTCATCTTGGGGGTCGGGGGCTGGGGGGGTCTTAATATCGGCGTGGTTTGTCGTGCCCATCCCTGACCCCATAGTCCTCCCACTCCTACACGTATTCGGTGCCCCGCCATCCTCATTCCGCCAAGTCCCGCCATTCGTGTGTTCCTCCCCTTCAGCCTCCATCATCCCTCATCCCCATCATCCTCATCCCCATCATCCATATCGCCCAGCTCCTCCCTCCTCCCTCCTCCCTCCTATCACCTCCATCATTATCATCCTCGTCCTCTTCCTCCTCCTCTGCATCCTCAAAGTTTGAGGCTCAAGCCATTGGTGTTTAGTCCAAGTGCTGACCTTACGGAACTCCGTGAGGAAGGTCCCCTTCTTCTCGGGGGGGTCGCCGCCAATGTCGCCAGGGTTGCCTCCGTCGCCACCACCACCGCCGCTGGTTGCCTTCTGCTTGGCCTTGGCCTTTGATTTGCCTTTGGCCTTTGCCTTGGCGGCACTCTCGACAGGATGATCCGTGCCCTTGCGGTTGCCCTTGTCCTTGTCCTTGTCGTTGCCCGTGAGCTTGCCCGCCTCGACGTGTTCTTGGCCTTGCACGTGTCCTTGTCCTTGTCCTTGTCCGTGCTCAGGCGATGGATCTGCCGATTTCGTCCATATCTCCCACTTCTCCATCGTCTTCTTGTAGGTGTCCGTGAGCTTGTGGACCACGTGCAGGTAGTTGAGATGCTTGGCCCTCGGGCAGTATTCGACGTGCTCGCCGCCCAGCAATATGCAACTCTGGCACCAGTTGATTGCCGCGCGGAGGCCTGTCAACCCACCGCCATACTCCACTGCGATCCTGGCCAGCGGGATGTACTGGCCGTCCTTGCTCTCCGCCTTCTCGTTGATCTCGCCCCTCTTGTACTTCGTTTCTGCCGCCCATAGTGTGAACTGACCCTCCATCCAGTCTCTCCTAAACTTGGCCTTTGCAGGCCACCCCTTCGCCTCCTTGTAGTCGTCGGCGAGCTTCTGGTCGGCCTGCTTCGCCCTCCTCCACTTCGCTGCCGCTGGATTCGAAATGGACTCGTCCAGGTCGAAGTAGAAGTCCTTGCCTTGCATGGTCTCCCAGAACTCCGTGAACTCGTCGTCCATCGTCTTGTCCGTCTGGCCCGTCCTCCTGCGCTCCTCCTCCGCCCATAGAGGGTCTTTCGCCCGCAGCTCCTGGATCCTCTTCAGCGCGTCGGAGTTGAAAATTTTGACGAGGCGCTGGGCAGCAAACTCCATCGTCATTTCGTCGGCATTGTGACCTGACGCGATGTCCCTGGTGATGAGGTCCGCCTCATTCTCGATCTCGGCCAGGAGTTCCTGCTTTGTCTTCGGCGGCGGCGCGGCTGTCAGCTCTCCTTTGCCAGCGCTGCCGTCGACGTCCCTGCCACCCTTCGAGCCTAGTTGGGGTGTGATGTCCAGCGGGTGAGGGCTGCGGCTCCTGCTGCGATCGAGCTCCCTGCGCACCACCCGTGTGACATCGTCGGTCTCGGGGGCGCTGCCACCTGCTGCGTCGACGGCTCCGTCCTGGCGGCGGGCACGAGAGGATGAGAATCGGGGAGGGTGGACATGGAGGACGACGAGGACGATAAGGGTAGGAATTCGGGATGAACAAGATGATTAGGAGGACGAGTTGGCGGATGGCGCGAGTTGCCCCGTCGGTCCAGTAGGCGACCAGGCTCTGCAGCAGGGCCGCCAGACCTCGGGCCAAACGGAGCCGCCTCGACCAGCTTCTGGCTCGCCTCAATCACCTTCTGCGTTGCGGTGAGGTTCGCCTGCGCCGCCTGTATCCTCTCTTCCGCCAGCTTCCTCCTCTTTGCAGCGTTGTGCTGCGCCTCCTCTTTCTTCCGCTTCATGTCCTCCATGCGTTTCACCACCTCCTCACGCTTCTTCTGGAGCTGCTCGTTCCTCTCGCGCTCCAGCTTTTCCTGCTCGTCCTTCAGGTGCTGCTGCCTGGCCAGCTCCGCCTGCTCCTGCATGCGGACGTCAAGGTCGCCGCCACCCTCCACCCCGAGGGCCGCCTCAGCAGTCGCGATGCTCGCGTCCATGCGCGCCTGACGCTCCTGCATCCACTCCTTATGCCGATCCTGCAGCCAGCGGCTGTTCTCCTCCTCAATCCTCTTGGCCGCCGCCGCCTTCCTGCCTTGCTCCTCCTCCAGGCGCAGGGCGGCTGCCTCTGCCTCCCTGGCGTCTGCCTCGTCTGCAGCAAGCTCCTCCTCCATGCGCTTCATCTCCTCTTCTGCCTTCTGCTCCATCTGGCGAATCTCCTCGTCACTGATCTCCTGCGGCTGCGACTCCAGCTGCCGGCCTCCTGACTTCCGCCGCCGCTCGTACTCCTCCGCCTCTGCCTGCCCATGCCCACCTTCTGGGAGGCCACAGCTGCCAGCACTGTCGCCCGCATTCGGCAAGTGAGGGGCGATGGCGTCCCCCACGATCTGCTCGAGCGACTCTGCCAGCTCCCCACCCAGGCAGGCTGGCACGTAGCGGGCGCCGAGCTGCGTTCCGCCCAGCCCCTCAGCTGGCGGATCGGCCGACTCCTCCTCACCAGCTCCCGCCGTCGGGGGGGCGGCGGCGGCGATGTCATCGTCGACGGGTGCCCCCCCCGAAGACGCAGGTGCGCCATTGTGCCCGTCCTTGAAGCAGCCACCCTGCAAGGTCGACAAGGGCGCCTCGGAATCGCTGTCGTGGACACTGTTGAGGCTCTGCTCGTCGCGGGCGGTATCCGCGGCCTCCTGGAGATGTTATTTACTGCAGGTTGCTCCTCCCCCTCCTCCTCTCCCTCCTCCTCTCCCTCCTCCTCTCCCTCCTCCTCTCCCTCCTCCTCTCCCTCCTCCTTCACCTCCTCCGCTCTACTCCCTGTCTTCCACTCTCCTCCTCATCCTCCGTTTTCGTGTTCATGTTGGTTTCGTATTCCCGTATCGGCGTTCCCCTCTCACCTTTTTTATTTATACCCACCCCCATCGTCATCATCCTATCTGCCATCATCCTCGTCATCCTTCTTCTTGCCATCGTAGATTCTTTTCATATCCTTAATCCCCGTGTCCTTAGATAACGCTGCAGACTCGTGAAGCGTACCGTTCGACATCAGCACAGAAGGGAACGGGACGGGAGTGATCCAAGAGCGGATGTCGTGAAAGTTGCCGAGGGGCTGCGCTGTGCCGATAAGTGGTTTGACCAAACGTGGCTTCGGCATGGCTAACATGGATCAGTAGATCCGTGTTAACCATGGAACACATGTTGATTGGGGCCCGCTGCCGACCCCCTTTCCCCCTGGGCGAGGGTTGCAGAGGAGCTCGAGGAGGAGGACGTGGAGGGGGAGGAGGAGGAGGACCAGTAGGAAACTGATGGGGGACGTTGAGTCAGGGGAGGGTGGGGACAAGGAGGAGAAGAGTGCCATGTGGAGCATGAGCATCACGAGGATTATGACGGAGAGAGTGTTATGTCTTGTTGACAGACAAGCAGTGCACGCTCAATGTCGTTGCAAAGGGCACATCGGCGCGGCGCGAGCGAGCACGCACCTCGATGAGCAGGTCCACGCAGCTGAAAAACAACACGTGCGGGCTCAGCGAGTCAGGGAAGGTGCCCGCGAAGATGTCCTACCCTTCCCATCGCAGCTGTGCGTCGCTCAGTCGACTCGCTCTGTCGGAAAAAGGGGGGGGGGGATGAAGAATCGGAGGGCGATGAGCAGAAGGAGGGATTGATGAAGGGAGGGGGGGGGGGGGAGAGGAAGAAGACGAGGAAGAGAAGGATGGGACGAGGGGGGATAACGTGGTGGCATGCCCCTGCCCCTGCCCGTCCTCGTGGCGTGCACCTAGAAGAAACCATCGCCCACGAAGAAGTTCAACTGCTGGGGCTGCTGGGGCTGCTGGGGCGGCGGCTGCCGCGGTGCGGGTGGTGGCTGTTCCAGCTTCTTGGGCTTGGCGAGGCTCTTCGCCTTCGGGGAAGCGTTCGGCACAGATGCATCTGAACTCGAGCCCGCGGTCGTCTTCTTGGTCTCGGGAGCGGGCCGCTTACCCTTGCCAGCGGGCTTCTTGGCTACCGTCTGCTCATTGTCATCCTCATCGACCTTGCTATTCTCCGAAGGGCTCAGCGACGCTCCAGCATCGGCGTTGTCCGTATCATCGCCATCGGGCTCTGCATCATCACCAGCTTCTTCATCAGGAGGCTCTTCCTCAGCAGGTCGTGTGTCCGAGTCATCATCGTCTATCTTCTTCGCTGGCTTTTTGGAGGGGGTTGTAGTGGCTGCTGCAGCTGGGCGTTTCCTCGCCTGCGAGCTCTCGGCCGAAGGGCGATCTTTTAGCCAAGCATGCTTCATCTCGTCGCACTGCTCCTTGGTCTTCTTCCCCGCAGCGTAGAGGCGCGCCATCTCCTTGAACAACTTGTCCGCCTCCTCAGACTTGAGGTGCGGCTTCATAGTCATGTTGCATATCATCGTCTGCGACTTGTTGTCGGGCTTCTCCCAGATAGCGTAGTTGATGACCTGCAATCGGCTGTACGGAACTGCCCACACCTTATTGCCAGTATTAGCGTGCTTGCCCTCCCACAAGATCTCGTGCCTGAGCTGGCCAACCCCCGTCTGCTGCATAGTCTTGAACTCCTTCACGGTGAGCCCCGCCACCTCCCACACAGTGCCGTCCGAGAAGGTGGCTGTCATGAAGGTCTCGTCGTCCGCGCCGTCGATGACCGTGAGCGGCAACGCCCACTGGATGATCGGCTTCATCTTCTTGGTCTTGACCACCTGCTTGCGGAACACCGCCTCCCCATACCCACTTGGCGGGTCGCGATCTTGCGCAGTAGCCATGTAACTATGTCCATGTCACTCGCACACGCACGCACACGGGATTCCGGCTCCGCCCGAGTCACAATTCAAATCCATGCAGCATCAGACAAACTACCCGCCAGCATACTTTCAGACTACTTTCAGACTACTTTCAGACTACGTCCAGACTACTTTCAGACTACTTTCAGACTACTTTCAGACTACTTTCAGACTACTTTCAGACTACGTTCAGACTACTTTCAGACTACTTTCAGACTACTTTCAGACTACTTTCAGACGCTTCTCAGACAGCGGCACGTTTATCACGCCCTGTCCACTGCCGATGGCACATCATGCTTCCCAGCTGTCCGCCCCGTCGTTTTTTCAATCAACCCGTCTCTCCCGCCCCTCCCACGCCCTCTCCTTCCCAGCGTATTCATTGTCATTCCCTCCAACTTCTTGTCCTAACACTCATCAGGATCATGTTGCTGCTACTGCTGCTGCTGCTGCTGGTCATCCTCATCATCCCCGTACTCTTCGTACCACCGCCTGCACCCCGCAAGCACCATCCCCGCCTTCTCGTGACGATCGAACTCGTAGATCCAGTCGTCGGCGATCTGCTTGTCCTGCCCCCAACCCGCGCGGGCCGTGTCCCATGTCATCTCCCATCTTCGTGCTCAAACGTGATCCCATCATCCTCCCGCTTGCCCTTAGTCGTCAATCATAGTCGCAACCATCGTATGTAGTCGACATCGCCAATCGCCGTCGCAATCCCTCCCCCCGTCCTTGTTCGGGTTGTAATACGGCTTCAACCACGCTGGAGGAGGCCGACCGTCGGTCCTGCGAGCGCGGGTGGGTGAGTACAACAACGGATCGCAGAGGGAAGGAGAGGAGGGGGATCAGGAGGAACCAGTAAGGATGACAGATGGAGTCATGTGAGGGACGAAGCGCTGTTTACATTGGGGCTCAAACATATCTTACTCAATCCTCCATCCTCCATCCGTCTCTCCACTCTCCCGATACCCTATCAACCCTATGTCCCTCGCACAGCTGTGCCCTCTGAGCGACATCTCTGCGCGCTTACCCCGACGCGGGTCCTGCACTTCACGATACCTTGTGATACGTGCCGCAAGCATGCTCGAAGCCGATGGCCCGCGAATCGCGGGCAGGCGTATGTTGACCGCCCGTCTCTTCCTCTTCGTCGTAGTCCTTCTCCTCCTCCCCCACCTCGTAATCTGTTTCCTCCCCCTTCTACTCCTGCCTCCTCCATTCCGTCCTCCACCCCTTCCCCCATACGTCCCCATCCACATACCAGTTGTCACCCATGCCACACTTGTCATCCTATGTCTGTCGGGCCCATGGCGAAACCTGTCTGATCATATACGATGTCTCTCTCGCCCAGCTGTCGATCTCGTCCCCTAATTCCCAGTCTCCGTCTTTTTTGCGGGCCATCGCTGTCAGCGGCTTGATGAGGCCACCAACCGTGATCTGCTCGTCAGGGTGGATCGCCTGCTGCGGCCCTCCCTGCTACCTCACCATCTCCCCACCCTCCACATCATGGTCAATATCATACTCCTCCTCTTTCCTCCCCCTTCCAACCTCCAAATCCTGCTTGTCCCTTCACTCTGACAATTCCCCCGTCGCCTCGCGCACGGACTTGATCACATCCTTGAGATGCTTGAGTTTCTCGCCGTCGGGCCTGTCCTCTAAGTCAGTCGTGTACTCGATCGTCCATGGCTGCTCGATCGTTTTCTTGAAAATCTGTTCTAACGTCGCCTCCAAGCCAGAGCCATCGCACACGGCCTGTTTGCCTTTGCTCATCATATGAGCATAAAAAACATCTCTCGGGCCCGAACTCAGACGGTGGGCGCGGCAGCGGGTGACGAGGTGAAAGAAGACGAGGAAACGAGGAGGAGGAGGAGGAGATAATGAGTTTTTTGTATATGTTATCTTGCTATTTTAGCGAGTTAGGTCATTTAGTTTGGCACAACCTAATTCACATACTTGGATAGATCCGGAAAACTACCTGGATAGAACCGGCTCGAGAGGGGTCTATCCTGTTAGAACCGGAAATTAAGGATCTAACCGATAGAACCGTGGAACCTGTGGGTACCCCCCCCCCCCTCCCGGCGGGGGAGGGATCAAAAGGGAAGGGGCTTCCCTTCGACTCAATTACGAGGTTGCTCAAGGTCGGCTTGGCTGGAGCCCAGGGGAAGAGGTCTCCCAGGGAAAGGGAAGGACAGAGACGACGAGTACAAAGAATGACGGAGATGACGGCTCGAACGGAAAAGCCCCTCACACACGCCGACAGGGTCGGCGGATTACCACAGTAAACCCAGGATGCGCCACCGATGCTGCAATACACCTTCCGTCCCAGGTGCTTTCCTCATAGTTTAGTTCCTACAGAATTCCTTTCCACTGGGGGGAGCGCCCCACTTGGATGACGAGCGCCCGGTGAGCCTGCAACCCAGGCGGCAATGTTCCCCAGCTAGGCTTGTCTACGGGGTTCCTGCTCGGTCAAAGGTTGGTGCCTCTGGTTTCCCCAACTTGGCTTGCCCAAGGGCTTCTCGCTTGGTTAAAGGTTGGCGCCTCCTAGTGCTACTTGGCTCGTTGCTTGGAGGTTCCTCGGGTTCCCCGGGTTCCTCGGGTTCCCCGCTCTCAGTGCCTCCTATCCTTACTTGGCCTGTTGCCCGGAGGTTCCTCGGGTTCCCCGGGTTCCTCCGGTTCCCCGCCCTCAGTGCCTCCTGTTGTTACATTGCCCGTTCCGCGGAGGTTCCTCGGGTTCCTCGGGTTCACCGATGCCAAGCAATGCCAAGCAATGCCAACCCATGCCAAGCAATGCCAAGCAATGCCAACCCATGCCAAACAATGCCAAGCGATGCAAAGCACTGCCAAGCGATGCCAAGCGATGCCAAGCAATGCCAAGCAACGCCAAGCAATGACAAGCAATGCCAGCCCATGCCAACCCATGCCAACCCATGCCAACCCATGTCAAGCGATTCCAAGCAATGCTAAGCGATGCCAAGCGATGCGCCCAGCGATGCGCCCATGCAGTACGCTTTCCCCGAATTGGGATCGCGCCGGGTTCGGATCAGTCCTCCATCCAGTTGATAAAGACGCAAAGAGGTAGGATGAGAACGTTCAGGGAAGTGTCCATGAATAACGCCGTCTTGGAAAGGATCTGCCCTACATGCATGAAAGTGCTGCAGAACATCAGAGTTTTGGCGGTACAACTTGTGGAAATTTCACGCGAGAGCCCCATTTTTCAACAGGCTCCGCCTCTCATCTGTGTCAAGTAGTCGTAGAATGGCAGGACGTCTCAAGCGATACCCGCATTCTGAAAACAAGCCAGCCTCGATCCTTGCAACTGTTGGGTACTTCGGCTGTCCCCTGGCTCACACACGAGCGAACCGACTGTGAGCACCAAATGCGCCAATCGCCCAGGCAACTTTCAGCAGCATGTGTACCAGACCTTGACTCCCCCACACTTTCATACTGATAGGTTGTCGCACCATACTTGTTCCAGAGTGCCACATTTGCTCAGCGCATGGCACACATGGCTTACAAGTGTACTTAACCAATTGCCACCTACCGCCAGCAGTCCTTTACAAGCTGGCTGCAGCCAGGCTAACCAGACTATGTACCAGACCACGCCTTTCCCAGCTCGCCTGTTTTTCGATTCAGCGACAGCCAGCCGCTCCAACTTCTAGACGAAGCATCGTGGCGGGTGGGATCGAGGAGAGGATTCGGAGAGGAGTAGTGGGCGTCAGGTACAGTGCTGCTAGGCCTGCTTGCCGACACCAGGCCCGTCCAACTACCAGTTTAAACTCGACATGTACCTCATACATCCTCAGAATTTGTCTTTCAACGTTGCAAGAGCTCGGTGCTCCCAGGTCAGATGGCCAGGTAGAGCGAACCACACCCTCAACATTTGCTTAGTCAATGTTCTTTTTCACATGAGCTTAAGCTGTTTGAGCGTAGCCGAGTCCAACACACGATTGAGGAGGGGGGTGGGGGGGCGTGTTGTAGGAGGGAGGTGGAATGAGGAGCTGGAAGAAGGCGACAGCCGAACCGCTGCTACATCTACCAGTTGCCAGTGCAAACCTTACTTACCCAACACACCCCGCATGCCTATTCAAATCAGCTTTACATACTTGCCCAGCCACTGCCCGTACAACGAATGCCGTGCCCAGCCCCAGTGCAGATGTAGCGCTCCATACTCATGCATATGCGTTTGAGGTTTACCATGTTTCGTGGTTGTGAGGTTTTTGGGTATCTCAAGTCGCACGTAGTTCTACATGCACGTTTGATTACATTCGGCCATGTTGGCCCATCGGCAGAGAACGCTCCACCACGAGGTTCCCATTGTGGACAGCTGTTGAGCGAACCTTCATGCACGTCAATCTCATATACCAGCTGGCGCCCGCATAAAACACAGTACTTCGATCACCTCCCCTCCTACGGTGCCCTCCATGCCTGTATCATGTGTTGGGTCGTTCATATAATCATGCTGCCAGTTTAGTTAGCACAAGCTCTAATGATCCCGCATGCTTCCTATCGTTCTCTATACCTCTCTTGTGTCTTGCATGTGCTGGCAATTGGACAGAGACCATGACTCTTAAGTCGGTTGTTTTGTCTTGCGTTCTTGCCATTCGTGTTGCATACACTTTGCGATAATCCGATCGTGCTTGCCCGTTACGAAAGTTATTCATCTTGGGCAGTGACTCGTGCGGCGACGCAAAGTGGGCTCCCTTCCCCCGTAGTCTCCTAGCACGACTTCCTTCAGCCTGGACGGGCGGGAGTGTTTTCCGAAGTTGTCCTCGGCGTGCCATTCATGATTGTTGTACATACGTACATGCATACATACATTCCTACATCCATCCATCCATACATCCATCCATCCATACATACATACATACATACATGCACACATACATGCATGCATACACACATAGACGCATGCATGCATGCATCCATCCACACGTACCTACATACACACATGCATGCACGTACACATGCATGCATGCGTACAGACAGACAGACAGACAGACAGACAGACAGACAGACAGACAGACAGATAGACAGACAGACAGACAGACATACACACACGTGACAGGGTGAAATATCTCCCCCTGCCATTTCACACGGAGAGCCCAGTCCCAGCCAGCTGCAAGCCATTTTGAGTTCTTTCCCGCACGAGATTTTTTTTTTTTTTAAAAAAAAACAAAAAAAACAAACAAAAAAAAGCACATCTATCATGGGCGATGCCCGCTCTTGCCAGGCATAGTCTTGTGGGTAGTCAGGATGAATAAGTTTTCGGAGCGGGAATGTAGTCCGTGCAACGCAAAATGGTGGAGGAATATTCAGTAGCATCTCACTGGGGCCTTACATCGCCGTGCAATTCCGTCTTTGGGATGCACTCGGGTCGATTAGCGTCTGGTAACCGATGATGTAGCGCCAATGCAGCGTCGATTCGCGTCGATGCGCCGTCGATTGGCATCGATGCGCGATGAGCAGCGTCGATTCGCAAGAGCCAACAAGATGGTATGGGAGGCTTCCATGAGTTGCCACCGAAGGCATAGCTCCGTGCCAGGGATGGGAGTGGGGAGCGTCGCCCGACGCAGGCGATCAGCCAGGTGCTCCGCACATCCAGACTTCAGGCGCGTCCGGGCCGCAGCGGCAGAGAGCGGCTGACGTGCCCAGGAGGGGTGGAGGTCGGGAGGAGGGGGAGAGGTGTGGACAAGTTAGGTGCGCTCGCGTCAACATCTGACATCCTACCCCTCCCTCCCATCCCTTACCATGGCGCTGATTTTCTCTATCCGCGGACGCGTGTCGTAGCGGACCTGTGGCTCCGCGCGTGTGTGCGTAGTGGGTGGTGGTGCGCGTGCGTGCGTGCGTGTGTGCGTGTGTGCGTGGTTGTGGTTGTTGTGGTGGTGGCGTGTATGTGTGTGTGTGCGTGTGTGCGCGTGTGCTGTGGTGTGACGTGGTGTGGCGTCTTGGTGGTTTGGTGGTGGGCCAGGTGCGTACGTGCGTGATGGCGGTGGTGGTGGTGGTGGCGGTGGTGGTGTGTGTGTGTGTGTGTCTGTGTGTGTGTGTGTGTGTGTGTGTGTGTGTGTGTGTGTGTGTGTGTGTGTGTGTGTGTGTGTGTGTGTGCGTGCGTGCGTGCGTGCGTGCGTGCGTGCGTGCGTGCGTGCGTGCGTGCGTGTGTGTCTGTGTGTGCGCGCGTGTGATGTGGTGTGACGCGGTGTAGCGTGGTGGTGGTGGGTGGGGTAGTGCGGTGGTGGTGGCGGTGCGCGGTGGTGATGCGCGTGCGTGCGTGCGTGCGTTGGTGGGTGGAAGTGGCGGTGGGTGTGCGTGCGGCGGGGCGGGGCGTGGTGCGGCGCGGTGGTGGCGGGCGGATGGGCGCGCGAGAAAGAGGCCCGCGCTGGGGCGAGAACGCCATCCTGAACGACGGAGGCAAAACACCGATCCGAGAATGCGGCCCACGCTGCAGCGGGAGCACGATTCGGAACGATTCGGGAGCAGAAATGAGGCCGGCGCCTCAGCGAGAGCAGCATTTTGAACAAAAACGCAGGCGAAAACCCAACTCCCGGGAATCTTGTGTGTAAAAAAACAGTACGCGGGGGGGGGTCGGCTACTTTCAGGCCGCCTTCGGGGGAAGAGGGAGAGTAGTATTCATATTGAGTGATTGTGGAGGAGGAGGGGGAGGAGGAGGGGGAGGGACAAGCCAGGTGCGCTCGCGTCATATCTGACGTTCTACCCCTTCCTCCCATCCCTTGCCATGACGTAGATTTTTGTTCTATTCGCACACTCGGATGTCGCAGCATTGCATAGCATTACGTTGCATAGCATGGTGCTGAAGATCAACGCGTAGCATGACATAGCATGGCGTGGCGACGCCCCAAAGTGAGGGGGGCTTCTGCGGCCCAAAACTCAACGAATCGACACCGAATGTGTAATCACTTCCGATGGTTCCTTCGGGATGCCATTTTCTAGGTTTTGGGGCCTATGTGGAATGACCGATACCATGCCGTGGCATTGCAATGGAAATCGTGACAAGCGTGGAAATGAGGCCAGCGCTGCAGCGGGAGCACGATTCGGAGGACGCGGAGCCTGACATAGCATGGCGTGGCGACGCCCCAAAGTGGTGGGGGGCTTCTGCGGGCCAAAACTCAACGAATCATACGCCGAACGTGTAATCACTTCCGATGTTTTTTGTTTTTTTTTGGGGGGGGCATTTTCCACATTTTGGAGCCTATTCGGAAGGACCGAAAACCATGCCGTGGCAGGGCGCTGGAAATAATGACGCCAGCGATGCAGCGGGAGCACGATTCGGAACGAGCGGCAGCGCGGAAATGAGGCCAGCGCTGCAGCGGGAGCACGATTCGGAACGAGCGGTGGCCCGAAAATGAAGTCAGCGCCTCTGCGAGAGCACCATTTTGAAAAACCAAACCAAAGCGAAAACCCGTTTCCCGGGAATCCTGCGTGTAAAAGACCAGTACGCGGAGGGGGGCCGGCCATTTCTGGGACGTCACCAGGGGAGAGAGGAGAGTAGTATTCATATTGTGTAACTGTGGAGAAGGAGGAGGATAAGGGAGGAGGCGAGCTCAAGAGTCATCAACGATGTTGGAATACACCCTCCCTCCAGACTCCTGCTTCATCGGCCCCTACGAGGATTCATTTCCACTGTAGGAATTCCCCGTTGGGGAACAACCGTGTCAGAATCCTGGTGCGCGCCAAAGCACCATTCTCAGGCCTTCAGCGCCGCGAGTCAGCCTGACTGTTGCGTCTTGACGATCCTGAATCGTGCCAGAACGCCGTTCATGGAACTTCAACTCAGCGAATCGATGTAACTGTTGCGCCCTGACAAATCCTGAATCGTTCCAAAAGACTGTCTCTGGTAGGTTACCCATGAGAAGCATTATAACTTTTGCAATTTGTTTAAACGGGTATGCGCGGCGCTGAGGCGACAGGCACATTGTGAAAAAGAGCCGTTCTTAACCCGTGAAGCTCTTGCAACTGTTTAACAATAGTGCTCGGGGCGCTTATGCGAGAGACACATTTTCAAAAGGGACCGCCCTCGTGCATTGAAACTTCTCAATGCTTCAAAATGAATGTGCGCGGCGCTAAGGCGAGAACAACAGTTTGAAAACGAACCCCCTTCGGTCCGTGAAGCTCTTGCAAACGTTCAAAACGAATATGCGCGCCGCTAAGGCGAGGGCCATTTTTTGAAAGCGACGCTCTTGCAAATGTTTGAAACGAGTGTGCGTGGCGCTGATGCGAGAGCCAGATTTTGGAAGCGGCCCGCTCTCCACCTGTGAAAGTGCTGCCATGCTCAAAGTTTGAGATTCATCAATGGTGAGGAAGTCTCTGGTGAAACGTCCGGTCCGCCCTTCCGACTGGTCTCGGGGTTGCGACAGGGAGGGGGTATTCATTTTAAGGGACAGGAATTGCGGAGGAGCGCAGGAGGAGGATGAGGAGGATGGAGGAGAGGAAGGGGGAGGAGGAGGGGGAGCAGGAGGAGGAGGTGGCAGAGGAGGAGGAGAAGGAGGAGGAGGAGGAGGAAGAGGAGAGAGGACACGGGGTACACGGGGGAAGGGGGAAGGGGAGGAGGAGGACGAGGAGAGGGCAGAGGATGAGGTGGCTGAGGAGGTAGAGGAGGAGGAGGAGGAGGAGAAGAAGGAGGAGGAGGAGGAGGAGTAGGAGGAGGAGGAGGAGGAGGACAATGAAAATGAGTTATGACAGCGGCGCGCAAGAGCGCATGCACACCGAACTCTACACCAAGGGGGGAGGGTGAGTGCTCAGAGGAAGGCGCGCCAATGGCCAGTACCGTCCATCCAAGGGGTTCGCAAGTAGTCGCCTACCAGCAGGTGTTCGTTCAATCATAGATCGATTCCGAGCACGTCACTCCTCGCTCTACTTGTATCCTGCCCATCCCCTTCTGAAGATTTGGGCATTCATACAGGAGGAGGAGGAGGAGGAGGAGGAGGAGGAGGAGGAGGAGGAGGATCAGCAGCAGCGCAAGTGGGAGGAGGAGGAGGAGGAGGAGGAGGAGGAGGAGGACGAGGAGGACGAGGAGGACGAGGAGCAGCAGGAGGGAGGCGGCAGGAGGGAGGAGAAGGTGCAAGAGCCAGCAGCAGGAGCAGGAGGAAGAGGTGGAAATGGAGCAGAAGCAGCAGGGGGAGCAGGAGGCACTCACTGGCTCTGATCGTGGACAGAGAAACCAAATTCACACACACACACACATGCAATTCACAATATCGAACAGAGAGCAAGGAGGGCGACGAGGAGAAAGGAAGCGGAGGAGGAGCATCGAAAGGAGGATAAGGAGCCAGGGGTAAGCAGAAGCAGCAGGGGGAGCAGGAGGAGGGGAGAAGCGTTTCCCCTCCCCCCGCGGCCCCACCTCCACCCAGACTCCGACCGCCCCTGCCCAGAGCAGCGTACCGCGGCGAGGAAGGGTGCCCCACCGAGGAGGGACGCGGCAGGCGGTGAGCGAGACACCCCACTGCTCGCGAAGCGTGTGCGAGCAAGCAGTATCCGCAGCCATTTTGGCTCAGGAGCTTCAGCCGGCACGGCCAACAGCCGCCTCCCCCCCAGCCAACAAGGTCCTTCGTCGCGAAGATGACGCTGAAGTACCCAGCGGCGTACCTGATGTGCGTGTTGGCAGGCAAGGAAGCCCCCACGGCGGCAGACATCCAGAAGGTCCTGGAGTCTGTGGAGTCCGAGTACGACAGCGAGATCGCCAGCAAGCTGGTGTCGGAGCTCGAGGGGAAGACCATATTCGAGATCATCAAGGACGGCAAGGAGAAGCTGAAGGGATTCGGTGGTGGCGGCGGCGGCGGCATTCCTGCGGCCGGTGGCGGAGGTGGTGGCGGCGGGGGCGGCGGCGAGGCAGCCGCCGCAAAGGAGGAGAAGAAGGTCGAGGAGGAGGAGGAAGAGGAGGACGTGGACTTCGATCTCTTCGGCTGAGCGCAGCGCCTCCGATCTTCCCGACAAAGGCATCTGCCTCATCTGCCTCCTCCCTCCTCTTCTTCCTCTTCCTCATTCACCCTCTCCTCTTCTCCTCCTCCTCCTCTGCCTCCACCCTCCCCTGCCCCCTGTGCTTCTCCTCTTCCTCTCCTTTTCCGTATGACTAACTCTCTTCGTATGACCAAGCCTGTCGGCAGGGCGTGCCGGGCGTTTCGCTTTAGACTTCTTCGCAAATCATGGCTCCGAAGCTCGGGGATCTTTAACATCTACACGAGTGGAAGGGGGGGTAATTATGTGGCTCTTGCCTGGGCGCCGCTCACATTCGTTCCGAAAGCTCGCACCAGTTTCGACGGTAGTGGGCGGTTCCTTTTCAAAATGGGGCTCTCACTTGAGAGCTCCTCCGACTTAAACGCCGCAAGCTTGAACATATGTAACAGCCGCGCTTATAGAGGGCGAATCATCTTCGGTTTGCGCCTCTCGCTTGCGACTTCGTCGAAGTGCTGCAAACTCGTTCAGAAGTTACACCGGTGGGGGGCGGTTCCTCTCCAAGGCAGGAAACAACCAACCCGTCGATCTGTATGATCATACCTTTCCGCATTCGCTGTCGTATCTGAGGATATATGACAATTCCTTTCCACAACGGGGCTCTCTCGCCTGAATGGCTGGCCAATGGGGTGCCGGTGTTTCAGAG